ATAGTTGAAAATTTATTCTCACTTTTGATGAGAGTAGCATCCATAATCTTTCCTTCTATAGGTAATTCAAACAAATTCAAAAAGTTAAATTAGATGAAGGTAATTTACAACCTCTAGCATAAAATGAAAATTTTCACAAAGAAGAATAATCCACTCTCTTTAAAGAAAAGTTTAGTCTTAGAAAAAGAGATTATTTGTTTAAAGGTGGATAGTCCACAACCTTCAAAATACAACAATAGAAGTGAAGTAATCTACTCATTTCTAAAATAAGATAAAAAAATAGTAAGTTAATATTCTTGTCAAACTATCAAAGATATAAATCTTGAAGAAAGAAAATCTTCAATATATTCTTATGTCATAGAAAAGAACTAGAACTTCATTTAAAGATAATACATTTATTGAATTAGAATAGCTATTATCAAAAACAAGAGATTAGAAAGTCTTGAAATAAGATTGAGGACTAGAAAAGTATTGATAAGAGTAAAGAAGGTTTTACTCTTACGTCCATATATACTCTTAACTAAGAGCTATATGGCAATGTCTTATAAGACCTCTAAAATATATTGACTTTACAAGACAAGTATCTTAATTTGCTAGTCAAGTTTTCTATATGTGCGCCACATAGCTAGCTTGTTTAGGAAGCTATCAATACGTGATTAACTTGTTGACCAAGTTTCTAACCTATCAATCAATTAAAAATATATGTAAAGTCAAAGTAATATCTATGAAGCTTCTAAAAAGCTTTTTTAGAAGTTATTATGAAATTAATTTATTTTTATTTATTTTTGCTTATTTCTATCTATTCATATAGGTATTTACTAAAATACATATGTATATCCATGTAACCTTAGATTATTATTTGTTAGAGGTTGATCTTGTAATTAAATTTTGACGCATAAATATCTTTGATAGAATGACTAAATTGAATTATTTCATATAGGCCTCTAAATTGAAAGATTGGTGTGATTTCAAAGTTGCCATTTGTTCTAATTATCCATTCAAACTTTAAAAAGGCTAGAACTTAGAATAAATTCTAAGTATTTAGAATTAATGTAAGAACTTTTACTTATCTTAGCTTTGTAATACAACAACCAAATACATAGAAAAAAATTCCAATTAATTTTTAATATTTATATTTTATATATCTTTAATTTGAATAAGTTATTTATACATCTAAGTACTATTAAAAAAGTGAAATAAATTATCTAGCATTCAATCTTATGATGTGAGGAATTTGACATTCCAAAAAAGACATTGTTAAGTCATTGAGTCTATATTGGCTAATTGATGGAAGACAAGCTTAGTTCAATTTTTATCCTATTTTATCAAGATTGCCTACTACTGATCAAAACCTATCATATGAATATATTCTATAAATAATATAAACTAGATATAAAGAGGCGATGAGCTTCTATATTTTTAGCATACCAAATATAGATGATATTGCATGATTATTTTTTAAGATACAAATCCAAGAAGCAAGCCTCAAATGAGGGGCTTGGCCATCAAGGCTTGCATACATGCTTCTCGGTTAAAGAATTTAATTCTCTCAATTTATAAGAAAGAATCAAGGAATTTCATACAACTTATGTTGAAATTTTTGGTTTACTGTTCTTACCACTTCAAATATACTTGCAAATAAGGAAACTAACTTTATTTATTTTTTGGAAGAAAGAGCTTTAATACAATACAATGTATCAAATTAAGGCTAGCAAAACTTAGTTTTCAATTAAGATTCTATTGGCCAACTTAAGCTTTGCTGTGGCCTATATAGATAGTTTTATCTTTAATGCTTTTAATATAGCTTCAAATCGAGCTTTTTGAGATAGTTAAAAACTTACTAAGAATCTAAGATATTGAATTACCTTTTCAAAAGCAAGTCATTATAGATGTATGTCTTCATCCTAATTAAAAATCCTTAATTCATGTAAAATCTATATAGCATGGAATTTGTCTTAATTAATTTGAGATCCCGTAATTAAAGAAAAAATAGAAAGAACTTCTTTAATTTGATATAGATTTTATATGTATCAGCTAGATACAAGTTTGTGTCATCTATAAACTCTTGATTTGTGATTAAGTAAAGATGATCTAAAAAGATTGTGCTTTGAATCTTATTGCCACTCTCAAATAAATAACTTAAGCAATCAACTACAAACAAATATAAAAAAGGTACAATTGGAAAATCTTTTTTATGGAGTCAATGGATTGCTAATTAATTGGTAAGGATAAGAATTCAAAAAAGATATACAAATAAGTAAAAAATAAATCAAAAAAAGATGGAAAACTAAAAATAAGAAAATAAATATATTTAATAAAAAATAGAAATAGCTATTTTCAAAGGCTAAAAAACTATAGACTCTTGAAACTAGACTAAAAATAAAAAAGGAATTGATAAGAGTGAAGAAGGTTACATTTTTTATCTCTACATATACTATCTATTCAAGAGCTATGTAACAACATTCTATAGGACCTCCAATATATGTCTAATTTGTGAGAAACATATTTTAACTTGCAATACAAGTTTCCTATATTTATGCCACATTGTTAGTCTCTCCTACAAGCTATCAATACATGTGATACATAGCTAACTTTTTGGTCAAGTATCTAACCTATCAATCACCTATAGACATGTGTAAAGCTAAAATTGTATCTATGAAGCTTCTAGAAAGCTTTTCCAAAAAGATTTTATTAAATTAACTTATATAAAATTATTTCTACTTATTAATATTATTTGAATGACTATAAATATGTTTGCGATATTATCCCACCTTCTAAAAATAAGTTCCATAAAAAATAGTGATCACATATTAAAGAAGTTTAAGATGTGGAAAATTATATTTGCCACATACTCTAATAGTTGTTCTTTTTAAAGGTAGTTGATATGCCCTCTCAGCCATCTATAATGTCTCATTCTAAGGCAAGAAGACCACCCTATTATTTGATTATTATTAAGATCATGTAATTTTTTCTTAATCCAATACTATTATTGCAAAAAAAAAATCTAAAAAAAATTCTAAAAGAAACTCTAAAAAAAATCTACTAAGCAAAATCTCCATCCACATCTTTTTTTTACATCATTGTATTTGAAAGTAGATAGAATTCCATACTATTCTTATCTTCTAATGCATCCTAGATATTTTTTAAAAATAAATGACAAATTTAGATACGCCTTGGAATAATAGTTGCTCACTGTTTTGAGTAAAATTATACTTTTCAATGTTATTAAACTTTAATGAACAAAGTAATGACTCAATTTAGCCTTAAGGCTCACTTTATGAATCCCATTTGGCATCAACACCTCTATTCTCCTCCAAATATTTTTTAGTCTTTAAAAATGATCTACAAAGTATATTAAACACACACACATTAAAATAGGAAATTTAAATTTTGAAGGGGATTTACCAATAAAAGAGAGAAAAATTAGTCAAGGTGTTGGATTATTTAAATTCAATCATCAGCTTCTGAATTGTTTTTGAATTTATTTCTCTCTCTCTCTCTCTCTCGTTATATATATATATATATATATATCCATTAAAAATGTAATTTTACCAAGGAAAGATACACAACTTGTAGTGTAGCATTCATTGCAATCAACACAATCAATGAATTTGTAGGTGGGTGTAATCCAACCAAGTCCCTCCAAATCTCATTCTAGATGAAAGTGGATAAGGGGCATATAATGCGAATATTCCATTAATTTTGAAGTTAAGTTGAGTGAGAGGGAGTCTCCTATATTAAAATCAGTGTCAAAGTTAATACAACAATATATCATAGACTTCAAGAGACTTGCAATTTATGGATGGCTTTCATACTATTACAAGCACTGGCCATCCATCAATGCCAAGGGCAGGCTATATCACCAGGTCTGTATTTATCAGTAATGAAACCAAGCGCCAGAGTTGTGAACGAGTACATGGGTGATGGTTCTGTTGGTGGTTGTGGTGACGTTGCAACTTTCTAATTGGCTTACTTGGGTAGCGGAGTGATTCTGGGGACTCGTAGTGTGCATTGGTAATATCTAAAAGCGATGTACGTATTTAGAATATCTAAAACTGACGGTTTTATCTTTCCAAAGGAAATTTAATGGAAAAAATAAAAATAAAATAAATGAAGAATAAACATTATCTGTACTGAAGTCTTTCGGTTTTTTTGGGAATCAACCTTTTGGTGTTTACCGTTTCTGAGACGAAAATTCCAAAATACCCAATCATTTGTTCTGTTTTTAAATTGAGGGGATTGGGCATCACATGTTTGTAGTTTTTAAATATAAAAAATCACATGAATGAGAATGTTGGAAAAAATATAAAAAGTACACAAACGATTGATAATCTATGAAAGAAATACATTTTCCGAAGAGATTAAAAAAGGGAGATGGATACATGAATAAAGTATGTACCAACAGGCACGACGACTACACAAGAAGCTTTTTCTTTGATAACGTCAATTCTTGACCTGAAAATGTTTTAGTGGTTACTTCAACCGAATTTGAACAACGAATGGCCGAGGCTCGATTTTAGAATGCCGAGCACAGTATGGTCAAACCCAGCTTTACAAACAACACACAAGGCGAAGGAGGGCACTGAACGGTTCCGCTGACACAAGATCTGAGAGGACAACAGCCATTCATACAATTTGTTTGGCAATCATCTCTCGTCCCATGGGGTGTGGGCCATCTTGAGCATTAAAGTAATGGTTCGTCCCCAACTTCCACGAAGCAGCACTGATACCTCGAGACCCCGCCCTTACGTTCCCCAGAACACTAATCAACGTTCCCTAAGGTCGAAAAGCATAAGAGCACGTCGAAGGAGCAGTGCAGCTTCCCCTCCGGAAGCGTGAGAAACCTTGCTTTTAGAAATGGGCCATTTCTGTAATCCAATCCAACGAATACGTAGATTTGCTGTCCACTTCCTCCGTAAATGAAACTCTTTTGTTAAGAGTCATTTAGCAAAATCCATGATTCGAAGAGATCTGCAATGCAAAGCGTCACAAGTCGTACGAGTTGGTGCTTCCTTTACAGAAGTATCGGTGCGGCAACGGCATTCTATGCGTATACCGCACTACCGTACTGCCAGAGAGCTGTTGAGCTCGCACTTCGACGTCAAGTAACGCAGAGCGAATCGCGTGATTGTGTGTGTGTGTGTGTGTGGAACTTTTAATTCTGCGCTCGCTATAAGATCGGGAGGACTACGAGTGCTGCTTGAGGTTGTCGAGGGTTGTGGTTCGACTCGTTTTCTGTAGATTAGTATCCTTCTATTGCATGCAATCCCTTAGTGAGTTTGAGGCTATGGTTCATGTCCGCTTAGATTTGGACGCTGTGGTCCTGTGAACCGGTGGTAGACCGTACGTTTGTTCGATCGGCTCAAGTTGGAGTTTGTCTATTACGATTACTCTCAAGTTTTGTGCGTTTTCGTGCTTTGAAGCTGGTCAAGATGAAGGTCCCGTTCTTCTCGAAAAGTAAGAAGAGTCAGTCCGACGTGCACTTGGCCATTTCGTCATGTTCGCGAGGCTCGGGCAATGTGGAGACGTTGTGCTCAGGTTCTTCTTCTTTTGCCTCATCTTCCCAGGTTTCGTCTACGGAAAAGAAGCTCAAGAAGATGTCTTCGTTCTCAGGGCCGCTTGATAAGCTGCGGAAGTCTTCCTCATTCTCCAGTCTGACGATGCCTGTGAGGCAGAGTTCTGGGAAATTGTTCAGTTTCAATTTAATGCGTCAAAAGAGCGGTACACAGACTCCTACAGGGTACTGTAAAGAGCTCACAGGAATTTTCAAATACTTCGATAAGAATGGCGACGGCAGGATATCTGCGGCCGAGCTTGGTCACGTATTGAGGGCACTCGGAATCCGATCCTCTGACGAAGAGCTCGAGGCGATGGTGCGCGAAGTGGACTGCGACAACGACGGCTTCATCGACTTAGACGAGTTTGCTAGGCTTTATAAGCTGACTCAGGAGGCGACAAGTGACGAAGAGAGCGAGCATAAAACATTGGAAGCTGCCTTCGACGTCTTTGATTTAAACAAGGATGGCTTCATTTCTGCCACAGAACTGCATAGAGTTCTCTCCGACCTAGGAGAGGTGCTTACGGAGGATGACTGCCGTACCATGATAAGCAGCGTGGACAGGAATGGTGACCAACTCGTTGATTTCTCCGAGTTTAAGTATCTTATGCAGGACGCCCGTGTTTACTGAGATGGGAACTCATCTTGGCGGCTGTATACATTTGATTGGCATTGAGTTGCATTTGAGATGTTCTTATAGGAGGTTAATCCCCTATTGGAGATGTGAGCGTTTAGTTTTTCAGACCCTTTCACAGCCTTAGAGGTGGCATATATGACATGGTGTTGACCTTCTGGACATGGACCGATCTTGTACTGATCGGAACGAGGCGTTTGTAACATAAGATTTTCCTGCTTCCAGTTATTCTGCTGTATTACAGGAATCTACATGAACTTGATCATACCTGATTGAAGTTTAAGATTAGAGTAGTATGTGGCGCAGAAGGCACTTAGAACATCTCAACGATGCCTGTCGCGTGCAAATTAGTTGGCCATAAGCTGGAATACAGTGTGCCCTCAACATGACTCACTTGAATTTTTTAATATTTGCCCTGGCCAACTAGAGTCAATAAGAACAACCCTTAGTGGAACGCTTCCTGCCTCCGTATGGCCGCGTCATTATGCGTTAAGTTTAAATTGGCTCACAGTTATATTCTCATCCTCTCTTATACTTCATTTTCACTACATTCCCCTGCATTGAGCAGAAATCGAGTACCTCACCTCCCTACGACAAACTCAAAGCATCCCTCACTCAACCAGATTATGCGACGTGGGTTTCTTGACACTTTTATCGAAAATCGCTTGATCACAGTTAATCCGACGCTCAGTGCCCTTCCCTGCACCCCAAGTCAGTAATGATCAAACCTTCTAATACAGCGCGTCAAATTCTCCTGCTGATTCTAATGAGGTATGCAACTAACCAGTGTGCACAATTTGGATTGATGAGCTGTTCTACCCTCTGATCACAACCATAGCGTAGTGTTTGAAACTTTATCCATTCTGAAACCCTCGACTAGAGATTCATAGACAGAATCTGGTTCACCTCCGCTTGTGGCCGAAACTTTCCTGTATGCAGCTAATAGGTAATTGGAGTCAGCTGTAGGTTAGCAGTAGCACATACTCACCAGTTCTGCGAGGTTGTGAAACATGAGGCAGTTGAAGGAAGAGTGTATGTTGTGCACATCGTGCACCATTAAAGTTGATATTCTAGTAACAAATGAAATCGCCCATCTGATTGTTGTCATCATTCCTGATGCAAACTTCTGAACAATATAACAACTACACTAGAGCTTAGAAGCTTAGTTGTTGCCACGTTTGAAAGTCCATGTTTTGAAATTTGCGGCCTTATCTTTGCATAAGCATACAAGTCATTCTTAAGGAAAGTGTTCAAATTTCATTTTGTTCCATTTAAAAATAATTAATTGTTTTTAAATGTTGGGGATTCAACTAAAATGATTAATTTTATATTTGATAATATAAAATTTAACCAATTTAAGCACAAACATGTAAGAAAAATCAGATTCAAGAAAATGTTCAAAATGAAGTATAATTGATTTTTTTTTTTTTTTTTTTTTTTAAATCTTGGTAATATCTGGTGAAATCAAATCTGGACTCTCTTATCTATCATTTTAATCATTATTATTATTGATCCTAGCAATAATTTGTATAGTTTCTAATGTAACCAAATTTTTGTTGTAATTAGGAATACTTCTAATTGTTTTATGTTCTAATTGTCCTTGTCTAATTTTTAATTCTAACATAGTGTAAAATATTTCAATTAGAATCAAAGCCAAGAAATAATAAATTTTTAAATAAAATTTCATTATTATATAATATTAAAATATAATAAAAATTAATTTATTAACATTGATATAATATTAGTATACCGATATATGTTTTAAGTATTAAAATTTGTACTAATAATGATATGTTGTAATAAACAAAAGAAAACCTTTTAAGACTAATAAGTATTCTTTTAAAGGAAAAATGAATAAATGAATAAATAAATAAATAAATATACCATTACTATCTTTATTATGGTCTGACTTTTGAATTTACAATGAATAATTTAAAACATGATCAATATATTGCACAACTAATTGTGACATAATAGATTCATTTTACAAGTAATATTTTCAGAGTTTATTTTATTTATATTACTTATTAGTTTTTTTATAATTTTTTTATTCTTAAGATTTCTGAAATTAAAATTTAATGTTAGATTTTATTCTTAAATTTTTTTAGTATAAATATTATATTTTAAAATCTAATTAAAATCTGAATTAAAATTAAAATATAAGAACTCATACATAACACTCATTTAAGATGCACAAAATTATATTAAAATTTCAAATTGAACTTAAGTACCAAATACATGTCCTTATATTTATTTCTATATTTAAATAAACTATAAAAACTCATATATTATTATACTACATTATACAAACACTCTTATATCATAACATTATATATTTTTAAACTCAAACATAATCCATAAAATTATCAATTAAAAATTGAATAAAAAATAAATAATATAAATGATTTTACTTTAATAATTGTTCTATGTTCTAAGTACTCTTAATTCCACCTCTAAATACAAAGAATTAATTAGTTTTTTGTATTTTTTTACTTGATTAATTTATCAAGTAATTTCTATTTTTATCTTTTCAAATTTTTTTAAAAAATAGTTACTAATTGCTGATTATTGAATATTTAATATTCAATAATACTAGTTGCATTATATTAAGAAAATACTACATTATTAATTGTAGGCAATAATCAAAAGTAGAAGATTTGTTCAAAGATATTAATTTTGAAAATAAAGTTAATTCATGAAAAATCTATTTCTTAGCACTTAAATTTTTTAAAAGACTTCATAATACAAGAATTTGATTTTTTAGACATTGAACAATGCTTTATTCAAATTTATGGACCTTAATGTAAAATCTACTCAATACTTTATTTATTATAAGGTTTTTAGATTCAATCATTTATTTTAAAAAAATCAAATGGGAGAACAATGATTAATTTGATAGCATTTTAGACATTTTAATTTATCCAAAATTCTAAAAAAATAATTAATAGAGAGCCTTGTGAGATTTTATTTATGAAATCAAGTCACTCTTCTTTTGCTTGTTTTTTATTTTGTGCTTCAAGGTAAGTATTTTAGAACAATTTGAAAATCATATATATACACTTAAAATTTAAGGCGGCTCAAATGCCATGATTTTTAAGCAAAGTGGTACAAAAGAAGAAAAAAGGGAGGAATTTAAAACCAAAAAGTCCTAAATTTGACTCCTTCTATATATTAAGATTGATGGTTTAAACTAATGCTTGATAATAGTATTAATTTCATATTTAGTTTTGACTCTTTTCTACTTTCTTTCTTTGGATTTTGGACACATTTAATATTTTAAAACTTATCCAAAGTGATATTTGGATGAATTCTAATTCCTAATATTCATTTGTGTTTGATTCCATTATCAAAGTAGTTTTACTTTGGTTATGTAGGTGTAACAATGTGGGGCAATTTGGAACATACTTTCTTTTGGTTCTATCTTTTTATTTTTTAAAATTTTGAGTCTTGAATTCTTTGAGTAAAAATTAGCATGTGTATGAATATTTTTAGATTGTCTATTAGTTTCTTTGAAATTCTTCTTTTAGAATTGTAGGAACACAAGTAGTATATGATTTTCAACAATACTTATTTTCTTTGGGATTGTCAAAGATATGAATTAAAAAAAAACCAAAGAGTCCATACAATGTTGTAACATTAAAAAAGAATAAATTTTACTTAAATATAGTTATAATATTAAAAATAAAATGGCTATTAATAAAGATAAGAAAACTAAAGACTTATAAAATAAGGCGAAGAATAAAAAATGCTTTGATAAGAATGAGGAAGGCATTACTCTTGTCTCTATATATACTATATAACTAGAAGCTATATTATTATACATTGTGAAGTTTTCTCAAGAATGCACTAAGCACTTTGCTATGAAAGATAAAATAGAACTTGCAACAAGAAAATTCTAACAACTCTAATAGAATCCTAAAATAAATTCAATTAAATTATAATAATATTAATTAATTTTTAATTAAATTCCAAAAGAGTCTTAAAGAACTAAAAAAATAAATATAAAGAAATTATAAATTAATCTTAAATATATATATATATATATATATATATATATATATAAAATAAAGATTTTAAAAAAAATTAAAATAATTTAAAATATTAAAAATAGAAATCTTAATTTAATCTTAGTTAAATCCTAATATAATCTTCAAAAAATCCTAATAAAATCCTAAACCAACTTTAATCATATACTAAACAAATTCTAATGAAATTCTAAATCAATTCTAACTAAATCCTAATAAAATCTTAACTAAATCCTAATCAAATCCTAAATCCTAACCAAATCTTATATCAAATTCTAAGAAAATCCTAAAAAACCTTTATCAAGTCCTAAATAAACTCTAAATAAATCCTAAATAAATATTAAATCTAAATTAATCCTAATCAAATTCTAAATCTTAAACAAACTCTTAACAAATTCTAGAAGAGATTGAAACCTCAATAACTAATGACCAAATCATTAATATTAATTCGAAATTTTCATACTTTTCAACAACTAAGTTGAAAATAAGTATAAAAAAATGAGATCAATTGTATTTATCAATTGAAAGAAATATAAAATAATCCATTTTGATATTGAGTTGCCTCTTTCTTCAACCTTAATATCAACCTTCTAGCACCAATATCACCTTCTTAAATCATTGAATTTCTTTCAAAATTTACAAAAATGTTAGAAATCAAGTCAACTATCTATATAATTAACTTTTATTTCAATTCAATTAGAAAATTGCTAAAGTTCTTGGATATATATATATATATATATATATATATATATATATATATATATATATATATATATATATATATATATATATATATATATATATATATATATATATATATATATATATATATATATATATATATATATATATATATATATATATATATATATATATATAGTTTTTTTTTTCACCTAATGGTCATGTTACTACACAATAACATGGTGACTTTCTGTAGGACCTCCAATACATGTCCAATTTCTTCAACATATCTTGAACTTACAAGGTAATTTTTTCATAAGTATTCTAAATAGCCAACTTGTTGGTTGAGTTTTTAACTTATCAATCATCTATAGTCACATTTAAAGTCAAATTTGCATCTATACAAGTTCTAAGAAGCTTTATTATAAGATATTATCAAACTTACCTACTTTTATTTATTTTTATGTATTTTTTTATTTAGATAATAAAAAGGTCAATTTTGTCTATGACATTATTATCCCTTCTAAAAAGAAATTTTAAAAGGAGCAATGTTTGCATGTTGGTGAAGTCTAAGATGCAACAAATTGTATTTGTCACATAGTATGATCTTGGTTTCTTTGAAAGGTAGTTGATTAGTCCTCTCAACCAACCTTTTCAAGTTGAATAAATCAAAGATTATATAGATTAATTCAACTTTATTAAAGAAGTTTTAAAAGATTTTAAAGAAAACTATGCATGTCTTTTAAAGCTTCTAAGTTCTTTGGTGTAAGTAAAACAAATACTTATAAATAATTTTGAAGAAATTAAAAGTAGATTTAATTTTTGATTAAGTTAAAATAAAAAAAAATGATATTAAAAAATATTTATTTAATTATAAAAGAAAGAAAAATCATATAAGATATTAATTTGAAAAGTTTTATTTCTTAGAAGATGTAAGATCTTATGGTATTAAAATACTTAAAATAAACTATATTGTATTTTTTATGACAACATTTTGAATGAAAAAGAAGATAAGAAAAGTAATTCAAAAATCTTAAAGATCACATCATAAAGAAAAATATTTAAAAAATATTTGATAATATGGATGTTGAGACAAATTTAGAAAAGTTTTAAGTACATACTTTCAAAGAGACTCAAATAGGAAGCAAAGTAATTGTCACCATGGGATAAAAAGATGTATTATATAAGTGCAGAAAAGAATTTTATTATGAAAAACTATTAAATTATTTTTCAAGCTTCAATGTTATTTTTAATTTATGCTTTCTCTAGGATTGATAATAAGGAATACATGCAATTTAATGATAAGGCATGTGGTGCATTGCTTTTAAGTCTTAAAGTAATTAGACAATATTTAAAGTAATATATATATATATATATATATATATATATATATATATATATATATATATGAAAAGACATATAGCATGAAGCTTTGAGAAGATTAAAAGAAGTCAAGGTTTTTTATGGATGTAATAATAAGAAGAAATTGAAGTCAACATTAAGAATTATTTATGATGATTTGGCTAAAGATGAGAAAAGTATGTTCTTCTAATTTTCTTTGATCATATAAAAATGTAAGAATATATCTTATAAATTTAATATGCACAAGGATTGACTTGCAAAAATTTAAAAAAAAAACATGGAAGTTAAAAAGCTTATAATTGTATCTCTAAATAAATGAAATAATAAATTTTAAAGTTTTTTAATGTATGATCAACTATGAGACATGGATTGGCAATTATAAGAGAAGTTGAAAATATAAATCAATTATGGTAAAAATACAAAAGTCTAAAATTTGTACTAAAAAATAAAGTAAGTGTATTTATTACAAATGTAAGATTTTTACAAATTTAAGAAAATTATAGATGTCATTAAGTTAAAAATACAAAATCAATTTGTTCTTATCAAACTATTTAAATATTAGTATAGTTGTGTATATAAAGAATATAAGTATTTGACTAAAATCTTTTACTTTCACAAAGTTAAACGATTGTCACAAATTTGGTTTTTTTTTCAATTAAAAAATCTGAATTTGATGGAAAAAAAAATGAAGAAAAAAATAAAATTAAAAAAAATAAAATTATTTTAAAAAGTTGAGGTTTTTAGATTTGAGTAGAAGTGATGTGAAAATTATGAACAACTATATTTAATTTAGTTTTTTCAATTTTAAAGAGCTTCATTTTGTCTAATATTAAATTTAAGGCCTTGTTAGATATAATTAAAAATCTCAAATATCGTCAATTACTATTTTCAAATCAATTTAAATCATTGAAAAAAAAATCCACCATCAATTAGTCACATGAATAAAATAAAATAAAAAATTAATAAATAGATTTTATAAAATAAAGAAAATCAAATATCTATTAAAATTTAATCTAATATAAAGGAGCTTCATTTTTAATGATTTAAAAAATTAAAAACCTTATCAAATATATTTAAAAACTTTAAATGCCTTTAATTCTTATATTTGGATCAACTTAAATTGTTGCAAAAACTTCCACTATTTGTAAGTGAGTTGAAATCACTTCAAAAAATAATGATAGATAGGTATAATAAAATAAAATAACTTTTAATATCTATAGGCAATCAATTTAATTTGAAGGAATTTTGTTTGTGTAAGTGCAAAATTTAAGACCTTATCATATATAATTAGAATTTATAAATTTCTTTGATTATTAGATTTGAATCATTGTATATAATTACAAAAATTTCATTATTTATTGGTGAATTAAAATCACTACAAGAAATGTAGATGGAATTGTGCATTGCAATAAATAAAAACCTAAAACAAATTTTATCTAATTTAAAAGAGATTTATCTATATAGATATGCATAATTAAAGACCTTGTTTAATAAAATTGGTACTTTCAAATATCTCCAATTATTAGATATGGACAATTGTAAGTGTGAAGTTAAAGATCATCTCTCAATTAAAATCAAAAGTTATCTTTAATTAAAAGTTTTTTCTAATTAGTAGTGTTAAGTAGCTAATTGAAAAATCAATTAGTTATTCATATGTAACTTGTAGTTTATTTATTACAAAACTTTGACAAAAGAATTTAATTAAAAATCATATAAATTTGATCTTTTGATGTTCTTAGTTGGACATTAAGATTTTAAATAGTTTTTTTTAAAAAATAAAATCATAAATAAGAAACTATTAAGAAAGAATTTTATTACATATATATTTTTGATTTTTTAAAGCTTCTATAAAGATTTCTTGTTAGCTAGTAGAGATAGAGACTAGTTTAAATCAATTCTCAATCTTGACAATAAAATTCTTACAGTTTACTTATAATATAAAATCTTTTAGTCTTTTGTATTTACTAACAACTATTCTATATATGTATTTTTAAAAATTTTAAAAATTTTAAAAAAACATATTTAATTAATTTATTAATAATTCTTTCTCCATTATTTGTATAAAAAATTATATTTTTTATAAGTTCAACTAGAATTTATGTCTTAAAGTAATTTTACGTTTTAATGATTCTTTTTATAGATTTATTCAAAATTGAATTCTCATTTAAAATCTATACTAAGATTTGTTTTTTTACTTTTAAAACTTTTAATCTATTAATTAAATTTTTTAGTTGTATTTGTTTGTATAAGTTTTACAGAATATTATTAAAGTACCTTATCAATCTGTATAATAAGCTAAAATATAACTTAATGCTAAAATATTTTTTGTAATTTTTTTTGACAAGTTTCTCTTTCAAATATAATAAAGTACCATAAAATAAAAATAAAAATAAGAATAAATAAAGAAAAAAAATTCAACATCAAATCATAATTTAAAAGTAGTAGAAAAGTTTAAATTGATTTGAATTAAGTAAGTGAGTAAGTAATAATAATAATAGTAAGTTATTATTTTTATGATAAAATAATTATTTCATAAACTATTATGTGAAAAGATTCACAAGCCTTATAATTCAACCATATTTGTAAATTATGAAATATTGAATCATTCTTTAAATCACAATTTAAGACTATTAAAACTTTTTGTAATTATTTTTTTATTATAGACTTGATAGGACATTATATAAATACTAATAGTTTTAATATTTTGTTATTTACTTATTTTAATGCAATAAAAGCATAGTAAATAATCATATATCTTAAGGACAGTTATACACTTACCTATTTTTTAAATTAGTGAGTTTATTTTCTCTGTTTATACTTGCAGATAATGTATTATTCAGCACATTAGAACTTTAAACCTAGAAGCTATTGATTCTTGAATTCTTTGTTATTAGGACCTCATTGAATTCCAAGTGTCATTTTGAGGTCTTTATATCTCTTTGATGCTCTTATTTATTCTTGTGTATGTATATCTAAAATCCAGTTATTCTTTGTGGAATTCAATACTGGAGAAAAGAAACTATATTGATTTAATTTTTTTTAAAAGAAAAAGAAAAAAGTGCTTTTAACAAATTATATTATTATTTTTTAAGCCACATATATGTGTGTGTTTATGTATATGTATATATATATATATATATATATCTGAAGTGATAAAATAAGACTTATATTATTATTATTTTTTTCATAAAACTACTGATTAAATTTTTTATAAATATAATTGATATGAAAATAAATACTGATTAAAAAATTTATGTATGTATGTACCTAATTATTAGGTATAAACATACATAAAACTACTGATTAAAAGTTTCATTTTATCACTTCAGGTTTGGAATTTCTGAACCCATCAACCCAATGCACCCTGAACATTGGAACAACAAAATGAGGGGGTTTGTGGAAAGCCACAAAAAATTAGGGTTTGAAAGCGGGCTTGCTCTAGGACAGTTGGATCTTCCACCCTATCATTCATGGGCCACGGCAAAAGGCCACTATTCTAGACACTTCCGTGGCTGGAAAAACTCAACAAAAGCTCACCACAAGATAACAGGAACTCTAGCTCAATTCAGGGCTGGCCCACAGTAAATTATATTCCAGCGAATGTGCTGCAGGGACGGTCCTGGAAGGCTCTGACGTGGACCGGGTCGGGCCCGGTCAGGTGGCCCGAGCTGACCCACCCGTGACTTGCTGCATCCGTTCCTTGCCCCCTTTCGGCGCTCGCTGCTTGTGTGCCGAGTGTGCAGGAACTTGGTGGTGGATTGTCCGATTGCTGCTGCAGCGTCGCCTCTCGCTGAATATGGATACTGCAGCGACGTCGTTTGTTGATGATTGGTAATTGTCTGCGATTTTTTCCAGCTTCCTCGAGGTGGGTGAGTTGCCGTATTTGTAGCAACACGGAGGGGGCGGTGTTTTGTGGGGATGGGACTGTTAGAGTGAAGGTGGGAGATGTTGTTGGAAATGCCGTGTTTCTTTTGCTACGAGGATCCGGGAAGTGATCCTGGCAAGGTTGAATGGTCCAGGAAGTATAGCTCGCTAAGTCGTGTAGTTTTCGCCGATAGAGTTTTAGGTACCTGTCTGAGAACACCGAAAATGGAATAGGGGGACGGCGTGCGACTGAGTAGGGAGGTATTCAAACTGTTACTTTCTTGCAGATTTTTTTAGTTGAAAGGATTTTTTTTAGTCGTGGGCTATTGGTGCGAGGGCTCTGCCTCTTGTATGAATACAGAACTTGTTGTCATGAATCCTGAAAGATTTGTGGATTGTGTGGGTATTGTTATTCTAAATAACGTCCACTGCTTGATCGACGTTTCCATGTCGACGCGGGTGTCACGATTCTTATGAATTTTAAGCCTCAGTTCCCCTTGTGGCGTTCATTCCCTGTGCTTGCATTCGGATTGGCTTGACGGACGAATTTTGAAATAGGGCGATTTGAAATGTCTGAATTAGGGTTAGGTTTTGTAAATACAGTGCAGGTGTATGCGTGATCGAAATCTTTTGGCAGTGAGAATTTCAGAGAACAGTTTAGCGTTCGCTTGAATTGGCTTAATATTACAATTCGGTACTGTTCATCCTAACTGGTTTCTTACAAGAAATTTTTGAAAATTATTTCATGCTATGCCTTGTTGAAAGTTGAACTCTTACGAATAATGTCTGATTCTAATTGGGCCCTATCTGAAAACTAACCATATCTGTTGTTAATTTCCAACCCCTTAATATTATATGTAAATTCGTGTGGTGCAGATTCCTGAGACTACATGGGAGTAACGCAGCAGTTTTAGTGTGGGAGTGTTCTTAAGCAATCCAGTTGAGAGAGGAAGCTGAATCACCATCAGAGAGGACCTCGCTGCTGAGATGTCGTTGCGAATTAAGGCTGTTGTAGAGAATTTTGTACGGGATTTGAAAGCAGCTTTAGAGGCTGACATTCAGGACCGCATTATGAAGGAGAGGGAGATGAACAGCTATTTGGACGAGAGGGAGCGCGAAGTTGCGGAGAGAGAAGCTGCCTGGAAAGCGGAACTTAGTAGAAGAGAGGTATCCTTCGGTACATTGCTCCTCAGTATCTTCATTATGTCGTGTGTTCGACATTTTATGAGTGAACAACTTGTTGCTCTCTCTTCATGCTCGAGAAAGAAAATTGTATCATCGTATTTATTGTTGAAATTGCTGATATTCATGTAAGTGGTATCTTGATTTTCCATCTTAGTTCTTTTCCTTATAATGTCCGAACTTGAAGAACTGATTGTCAATTCTATCTATATTTCAGGCTGAAATTGTGAAGCAAGAAACGCGACTACGGCTTGAGCGTGAGAATTTGGAGAAGGAGAAGAGTGTGCTTATGGGAACAGCATCCAGCTTGGATAATCAGGATGGCGCGCTAGAGATTACTGTTAGCGGTGAAAAGTATCGCTGCTTAAGGTTTTCGAAAGCTAAGAAGTGAGACCTGTTGATACAACTGGAAACTTTTCTTAGAAAGGTGTGTAGATACACTTTGAGAACGACAACCGTAAAGATTCTTACATTCAAGGGGCATCCAACATAGTCTTGTTTACAGCAGAGCTTTGGTGCGGTTTGTTACAAAAGTTAGAGCCTTCATTTACCTCCGCGTTGTATAAGTATGGATCATCTTTGACGAAGTGGAGATTGTATTTCTTGTGGACTTTTCAGCTTACATGTTCATATATTTATATACCAGTGGAGAAGCTGTATGTAGCAGCAGAAGTATTTCGTCATTTGGATCAACTGTGACCGTCGAACTTGTGAAGTTGCCTTAACCAATAGTTCTTACTGCCGGTTCTCAAGAATGCCACTTGCGCTTGTATAAAGTGATTAGAAAAACATGAGTTGTTGGAGGATCCTTGTGCCCCCGAGAAGTGAGCGAATTCACTAGCCATAGGTTGGGTCCACCAACTGGGGGTAGGCAGTATGCTCAGATTGACCTCAGGACATCATGTAATATTGTATAATTTCTTTGCCGAAGCTAAGAAAGATTTGATTATTCTGCGTATGTTTCGTGCTCTTCGTGTCTTAGTGATGGCCACAGTAAATACCAATATGAAGGAATACATGCGTGTATACATATATATATATATATATATATAGCGAGAGAGAGACAGAGATGCTCATGATCCAACATAAACTGGAAATTCATATGTACGTATCACACTTGACCAGGCACATGACAGCTTTTTAAAATTAGATCGACACATTAGAATATTCAAACATTCTGTAACTTCTCAATGCAGTGCATATCATTAAACTATGTTTCAAGAAACATACGAATAAATGAAGCACAAACTTATGCATTTAAAACTATGAAGTTGCGATAATTGTAGTTTATTATAGTTTTTTCTTGTTTTCAAACAATATTTTCATATCAACTAAACACTCTTTGTAGCAATCGATTTTTAATCTGTCGTAATTTTTTGTTTTTCTTTCTTTGCATTTCACAACTATTAAGACCATTCTTCAACTTAAGAGGTACTTCTTGGATATTTTTAGATACAATTACGACAGGAAAATCTAAAAATTCTATATCTGTGTGTAGAATCACAGATCGTGTTCCACGTTCTGAGGGCACTAGCACCTCTACCCGACATATAAATGCGCGCATAGTAGCAAGTTCCTGCATAACGCACCAGATACCTTCAATGCATGAATAACATAACTTAGAATTCTGGAAAGTGAGCAGCACACCAAACGATTAGTCGGTACCGTACATCTTCAATATCAATAATAGAAGAGATTTTCAATCGAAACCAGAACACTGCCCATAAGTCAGGCTTGAAAGTTTGTTGGGCCAATCTCACTTCTTGAATTTTGACTACAACCTGGTAAAAGAGGGCAACGTGGACAGTAAGCTTTGTGTGTATAACTGGAACTCTTCAATCAGATCTTTCCACGCCTGGCAACATGTTCACACCGTGCACTAACAATATTTTGACGATAGCACAGAGTAAATTGATGAAGACTCAACGTTAAGCTGGTCACAGATTTCATATGTACAAACTCATTCAGCCAATGGAGGGTTTAAAATACAAACACAACGTGATATCTTATCCGAAAATCCCACACCAATAAATAAACTCTTCAACAGAACCATTATCAGAAAAGAAAATAGCACAAAATCCAGAGACCGGCTATTTGAGTACTGCTTCATTTCAGCAATTACAAATACACATGCAGAGCTATTTCTTGCTACTCTGCCGAAATCGTCTGCTACAGTATGCACCGTGGGCGTGTCGCTTGCTCTATGGTGCAATCACTAGAAGAAGACAGTTACTTTGTCAATCCTGTCACAGCAGTTCTGAAAATTTTCCAAAAGACAGATTCGCTGACATTCTATGAACCCCAGAATTCTGTTCACCTCGAGAAGATCGCCAGGGACTGAAAATGCGGGGGAGCGGTTGAGTAGGGAAAGGAAATGTCATGAATGAACTTTACATCTGGGCACATGCGAATGTCCAAACGGAACTTTCAATAGCACACAAGCGAACTACATGCCGTCAAAAATCAACACCCGCGGATCATTCGACTTCTATGCAAATTCCTATCTATGAGCCAACCATTAATTCTTGAAATTCTTCAAAGTCCACATAGCCATCCCCATCTTTGTCCACGTTGTTGATCATCTGACGGCAATCTTCAAGTGAATGACCTTTATCTCCAAGACTAACCAGGACAGACTGCAGATCATCAGCAGATATGCGCTTGTCTCCATCCTTATCGAACACTTGAAATGCATCTCTCAAGGGATCATCTACGGAAGAAATATCGCCACCGACAATTCCACCCTTGATAGATACGTGAAATGCAACAAACTCCGCCAAACTGATAAATCCATCATTATTCGTATCAATATCTTTCATGAGTTGGACACCCTCCTCCTCTGAAATAGCACCGCCAAGAGTAGTCAGCACAGCTCTAAGTTCCACTAACGAAATTTTTCCATCATGGTCAGCGTCGTAGACTTTGAAAACTCTCGCCAACTCCTGCTCGGACTTGGAGACGCGCAATGCAGGCGGACCAGTTCCCGACTTAGTTTTCTTCAACTTTAAACTAGCCCTACTCGTAATTTTTGACATTAAACCTTGCTTCTTAGAACTCTCATCCCTGGGCGCCTTCTTTGCTTTCTCAACCTTCGGAGAGTCAGCCACAGCTACATCTACAAGCACCGACGGACCATTGCCGCCGTAGTTGCCGTTGCAATTGCCGGTTCCAATACCGCTAAGATCCACCGTCCCACTTCCCTGCTTCTTCAACTTCCCAAGACTCCCAAAACCCTTCATCGTGCCGCTACTTCTCCCCCTCCACCAGCACCTCCCGAGCCTGAATACAACCTCTACAATCCGCCTCTATTCTGTGCCACTCTCTTCTCCTCCAAAACATTACCCTACAAAAAGAAAAAAAACGGAAAACAGAAAAAACAGAAAAAGCTGGCGCACCCCGAAAATAAACAAAGGGTAATTAAAGCTTCACCGCCTAAGCAACCTGTCAGCGCGTGATATTCAGAAGGGAAATCACGCCTCTCACGGATCCCTTCACGGCATTTCCTCCCGTTTCGACACGACACCCCATGTGGATGCCTATGGGATTGATGTGGTCGTTTTTCATCCAATTAAATGATGCGTGGATGCATGTCGCGCGATCGATGAACCATTCACATCTGGACGTTGCCTGGATGGAGTGGATGGATGAATGTCATTCTCTTGAGAGTTTCTTTAATTTATTTATTTTGGTTTCTTTAAAAAAAATTTAAAAAAATTTTTCTTTTTAATTTGATTTGGTCTTGGTATCTATTATCCATAACCACAAAACTTGATTATTCATTTATAATTGTTCTTTCTTATTTTATTCAAATATATAATAAAGTAGAAGATTTTTTTCATGCACCATTTTGAATCTCAGTATTATTGTGTATTTTTTAAAAATTATATGAGTACATGGAGATATATATATATATAGTTAGACATATACATGTCCAAAAAATAATAATTAATGTGTTTTGGCTATTTTATTTCTATAAAATGTATTAAAAATAATTAAGAGTATTTTTATATTGTATGCTCGAAGATTATTTTATTTTTTGAGTAATTTTTAAAAAATTTATTAAGTATCTATAATTTGTGGCATCTTATAGAATTATCAAAATAAATTTTAATATCACAAGTTTAAAAACATACATATTTAATAATTTTCTTTTCTTATTAATATAGTTTTAAATTGGATTTCAAACTTGAGAATACTCTTTACAAAGAGTTCAAAAAAACATATCAATGAAAACATCTAAATAAATTAAATAAAAGTTTATACTAATTAAACCAATTGTTGTATTTTAATAAACTTGTTAAAATTCTAAACTTAACATCAATATATATATATATATATATATATTGAAAATAATCAAATCCTTGGACAAATTGAAAATTAAAATGTTAGTTGTATAAATGGAATCTTAGTAAGTCTTGAAGGCAATTATTTTAGTTTTTTTAGTATTTTTACTTATTATTGAGTATTAAGGGTTATTTATTAAGATGAAAATTTATATTGGCCTCATATCTATATGTATTACTTATAAAAAAAACTATAAATATTATTTAGTAGTTAGATGAAGCATGAGAAAGAACCTCATGTTTTTTAATTAGTTATATAGAAAGTAGGATTTATAATAAATTTAAATTAATTTTATTACTATAAAAGATTATCAAGTTACGAAAATATAGCTTTAAATTGATATTAATATTATAAAAATATTATATATATATTTTAAATTTATTTAGAATTTCTTTAGAATTTTTTAGGAATTTTTAGAGCAATTTCCAAGACTTTGGTAAAAATAAATTTTACTAGTCTAGGAGCCATTATGAAGAAATGGAACAAGATTTGAAGGCCATACAAGGTTTCTAGACTGATTGGATGTTTTTAAACACCATAGTGTAGTCAAAAATGAAAAAATATTGGTTTTACTAGTCGAAAATAGAAGGACCAACAACTGGTGTAATCCTTGTAAGAATGGAGGTACAAAAGTCTTATATAGGTTGTAGCACCTTGAAGGTAGTTAGGAGGATAAGATTAAGGCATCATAGCCTCTCTTAGAGACCCATATACACTACTTGTGAGCCTTGGTGAGGCTCAAACTCCTGATTTCTTAAGCAAGTTAGTCTTGAAGTAAAAATTATTCACTAAACTTTTCTATTATTTATCTTCTATCTTTAATCTTTCATAGCTTACTCATAATAATTTGGATTTATATGTTTCTTGTACCATTGAAAAGTTAATAAAATTAAATTTCTAAAAATATATTTTTTATTTTTTATTAGGTAAAAATTCAATGAACAAATTGTGATTAGTTTTGTGGTGAACAATTTCTTGATTGCACTTGTTTCACTAGTATTTGTATCGTGTTTCTTTTTTTCTTATTCTTGCTACTTCCACTTCATACTACCAATTATAAAGAACTCTTACTTGAGGCTATCTTGTAATTTGGATTGAGGGATGAAATTTACCTTCACACATATATATATATATATATATATATATATATATATATCTACTTTAAAAAATAATAAAATATAAAAACTTATACTTAATTCAATTATAATTTAAGAATTTAAATTATTTAATTTAATAAAATTATAAAAAAAACTTTTAGTAGAAAAATTTAAAAGAAAAATTTAAAATTTAGGAAGTAATAATACTCTTATATCAAATAAAATACTAATTTAATAGTATACTCAAATATAAAGTTTTATATTGTTTGAATTTTTTTTTTTCTTTCTAAGTATTCTACTAAAAATTTATATAAGATTAATGATTGGCTGTAGAATTATTTTTTCATAATTTTATTAAAAAATATTTTTTTCATATACAATTTAAACTTAAAAAATATATGTATTTAAATTAAATTTATTTTAAAAATAAATGTCTTGAGTCCAAACTTAATGTATTACTTTTGCATATAAATTTTTTTAATAAAAGGTAGTAGTAATTGCTTTCTTTCTAATTTTTTTATTATAAAATAAGACTTAAAAAGAGATGCATAAAATATAAGATGAATCTATATTGACTATGTTAATAATATTTGATATGAAAATAAATAAATATATTTTTATATAATAAAAATTAATCATATATTATTACATGTTTTAATAAGAAGTTGTTTTTTTCTACATAAAAATTTAATAGTTTTTTTTTATCTTGTCCTTAAGATTTTTTTAGATATATTTTTATTTTTGTATAAACTTTATTATTCTTTGTATCAAATACTGTACTTTTAGATTTTTAACTTTTAAAAAATCAAAAGTATCAAATTTTAGAAAATAATTATAATTAGAAAAAAATAGAATTTGTTGTATAGAAGAATATATCACATTGTTAAATAAAAATTCTACCAATTATAAGAAAGTTTTTGAATTTTCCAAATATTAATTGATAAAAAATTTTAAATATTGATTTACTATTAATTCACACATTCTATTTGTTCATCAATTTGATAATAAAAAAAAATTAAAGATTATTTAATATTAACCTTTTATATGTTGAAGAGTATCTTTCAAAATCTTGATTCAAATTTATCCCTCTAATTAGATATAAATTTATTTAGAAGTCTGTAATATTAATATATATTATTTAAAAAATATTTTGTTGTTATTTTTTTATTTTATTTTTTTTATTGTTAGTAATTTATTTTTTTTATTTTTTTTACTTTTTTAAATACTAATTTTTATAAAAGATACATAATAAGTCATTTTAATTAAATGATCTAGCATTATACAAATATAGTTGTAAGAATTTGATCTAATAAGATGTATAAAAAAAATCCATTATAACAAATGATCAATATTATTTTAGAATAAGTAAAGATTGAAGAAGTTTATAGAACTAATATTGTAATGTCTTTGTTTAAGAATAACTATTACAAGATTTAATAAATCCTTTGATAAATTTCTGTAATTGAAGCTAAAATAAATTTCTTCAAATATGTTCCAAAGTTTAATTAAGTTAAAAAATTTATTTAGACAAAGAGTCATGTTATGCTTAAAAAATACATAATTTTGCTTAAATTTTTGAATTATGTTTATGTCTTTTATAACAACAAATGTTTTTTTTAAAAATAAAAAATATTAGACTTATCATAAAGATAACATCACAAATAATCTATTTGTTGATATACTTGAAAAAACTTTATTAATAAAAGTAGTATCAATTGAGATTATTAACTTAATTTCTTAAAGATATAACTCCTTTAGTTTTAAAAGATCAATTTATTGTTGATTAAATTTAGCATGTCTTTCTTTTGGTATAAGATAAAATTATTTAGACAATGCATATAATAAGTTCTGTTATTTACTAAGACAATAGATAATATCAAAACAAATCTTGACTAATACATGCTCTAATGGGCTTAGGAAAAATTTAATACCTATATTAACATAAAATGTTTTGGATTCTTAAGATTGATATAAATTATTATCAAATAAAAAGAATCTTCTAGGTAGTGATGATATTTTAGAAATAAATTTATAATAATAAGAAGATTTTTTTGTTGTAAATATTATAATATATCTTAGATCTTGAGAATTTCTTTAAATAAAAGAAAAAAATATTTTACAACAATAAGATTAGAGTATTAGCAAGATGACTATAATAATATTCTCAAAAAAATCTAAATAACTATTTTTTCTCTTTGGAATTCTACTAAAATTCCTTTTGAATGAAGATTTTATATTATATAAGTAAAAAATATATTTTTTCTTTTATAACTTATATAAATACCTATTCTCAACAAATAAAGATTATGATAACTTTCTAGTATCAAGACTAAAGTATAAATTATTATTTCTAATTTCTAATCAACATTAAGATTATTTAATTTAAACCAAAGAAGGCCAAATAATACTAGATTTGTAGAAAATTAAATGATATTAAAAATAATATCAAAGATTTTATTTACTCATGTTATTTTCAATAGCCTAGTCTCTTTTATAAATCTCTAAATTTAAATTGTTGCCAATCAATAATTTCTAGTGGAACTAATTAGATCTTTAAAAATATTAATTTTAATTGCAAAGAAAATCTTTTATCTATAAAATATGTTGAGGCTTTTGAATTTAAAAGTTCTGGAGTCGAAATTTTACAACTTAGAATTATAAAAATTATAAGAAGTTTAAAAAAATGTATAGAATTTAGTAAAAGCATGAGAATTATATTTTATGATTTTGGTCTAAAGATATCTATTTTTAAGGTCTTACTACAAAAAAATTATATTTTTTAATATTTAGTTAAAATTTAAAATTTTTATATTTAATTTTTTATTTTGTGTCTTAAATTTAATTTAATTGACACATGAATCTTTCACTTAAATTTTATCTTTCTAAAATATAAACATAGGTTTTTACAATGGTTTTAATTTTTAATTTTTATATTATTATTATTATTATTATTATTATTTATATATTAACCACCTTAATTAAATTATATTAATTTGCATAGGTTTTGG